AGTCTGGTAATTGACTAAATACTGTGGAGTACCCTTTGTTATCAAAAAATAAATACAACTGATACTACATCTTTTTTTAAAGGAGCTCTACTTTGTATGTATGCACATTAGTTTCTTGCTTAAGAGTCACCACTCTAGAGAGACAGCAAACTAAACCAGTAGAATGTTGTTGTAATGTAATTATGAAGTCTCTCTGTAGGCTGTCTTCCCTCTTTCTTTGGTTACTTTGTGGCTAGGATTTAAAAAATGGTAGGAGAGGGAAAGCAAAGAAGCTAGACATGAAACACTGATATTAAAATAAGTGCTTCCTTAGCAAACCTTACATTATAGTAAAATACATGCTAGGAACGCTTTGGCTATGTCAAGTATTTTCTTCCTGAATATTTTGTCTTTTGGGGGGCATCTTAATGTCTTGGATATAAAATAATTTTGTTATGTACCATTAACTTAAGAGCTGGATACCTCAATGGGTGCTTTATGATTCCTAGGCAGAAATATAGGGAATGATTATCCTTTCTTTATCCCTGTGTTCTGTTGGAATAGCTGAGCTATTAGTTCAGTACAAATGGCCTCATTTTGGGTGTTCCAAGTTCTCCTTTAGAAATATCTTGCAATAAAGACACCTGCTATTCTCCAGCTGTTCCAGTTAGACATACAGCTATCAAGATTGCTTTTCCATCTTTGGAAACGGGCTTTTCTGGGAATGTTTGGTTTCTTCTCAATTACTCCTGTGTGCTTTTTTGGATGTTATCAACTGCCGTGTTATTGTCCAGGGAATGTCTCTTTCTATTCTGCCTCACAGCACTCACTTCCTGTGCAGAGCTCCTGTAAAGGTTGTGTGTGTGTGCTTATAAAAGCAATGCTGACAAACTCAGTTGTACAAATTAACAGGAGTAAAACTATGGCGTTTTGGAGTCTAATGCATCAGGTTTCAATGTTCAGGATTAAACAGACATAGTAAGAAAACCAATTCAAAGAGTATGCTTTCTTAAGCCTGTCTTAAGAAGGAAATGCTGTCTTGTTTTATGTAGCTCTAATGGCAGTGACTGAAAAGTGAATGTGGGTAAGCTTGTTGGGAAGTCTAGAGAAAGATTCTGTCACTGTTTTCAGTGACATAAGACCTCAAGAAGTGAAAGACAGGCAAGTAGCTGTACATGATTATCTGTGATGAAAGATTGTCAGAAAATTAGTCTCTTAACCAAGTGTTTTGAGTGGTTTTATTTAGATTTCTCCCACATAGGTCAGTTATCCTAGCAAGTGTAAACTGAGCACATGAACTATCAATTCAAGTTATGTTTTCACCTCACAAGAGGCAAAACACTACAGGTGTCCAGCTGTGAGCATGAGAAGATAAGCACATGCATACCTCAACTTTGAGGAATCTTGCAAGTAACTTTTTTGCTCTGTTACAGGTGTCTGCTATATAGAAGGGGTTTTTCCTTCATATCTTGCAGGTGGATTTCTTCAGTGTTAGGACAATTCATAAACATTTTTATCATTTTAGGGGGAAAGTGGGAGGAATGCTGTGGGTTTCCATAGATCTTGCTGTCTGGCAGCAGAGTTGTTCAGGAAGCTGTGAGCAGACTAGGGGAATGCAAAGCTTCTCTGTCAGCTGTTAGAACTGGTAGGTTCAGTGGCAAGTGCTTGTGTTTTCAAGTTGTTGTCTGGTGTTAGATGCAACTTCAGACACTTTCTGGTTTAGTGTGTTACTACTAATGTATTAGTGTCAAATCAATGGATTGTTAGTTCTGTAGTGAGCTAATATAAATAGGACTAAGTTGGTGGGGGGAATAGTTTGATAGCTAATAGTACATGGAGTAGCTCTTCATATAATTGCTATGTCTTTTCATGTAATTACTGTCAGATTTCAACATGGCATTATCTTTCATAGGACTTTATTAATATCACAGTTGTCAAGCCCAGGGTGAATTTAGTACAGTGTACATGAGCTTCAGTCCTGAAGTTAATTGACTGTCAGCTTCCAGTAATATGTTACCTTCCAAACTGTAACACCAAGATTTACTAGTGTGGGAGTTGGAAGTACCAACAGTTGTCTCCTTCCTTCTCCTTTTTCAGTCTCACTGCTGGTTGGTTTTCAATGGCTTCTCTATGCACTTCTGATTCTTGTAGCATAGGAGAGTGTTGTGGCAGTATTGAATAAAACATAAAACTGGGCTGATAAAGTATACATTCTTTCTTTAGATTTTGTATGCTTTCTTGACATGAAGGTAGTGTAATGTATTTGCAAACATCTGTTCAAAGATAAGAGTCTTATTACCCATTAAAGGCTTACTTTTATAAACAAATCCTTCTTATGCATGTTTGAGAATATTATTGTCATGCCCTTGCCTCAAAAGCAAAGAAACTGTTACTGTATTGTGTATTGTTGGCTGCAGTATGGCTTTTGGTTAATTCAAATCCAGCTCCTGAGCTAGGGTTGCACCATAGGGCCAGCAGTTGTGCTTGTGCTGGTGTGTGAATTCATGGGCTGCCTGAACCCAGCTGCAAAGGGAAGCAGGACACTAGGGCTGCTGAAAAAGAAATCTCCAGGTCACTCTGGGATTACAGCTGCCTTTCCGGCCCTGTTCTGCAATTACAATGGGATTCTTGGGAAGCTGTTGTATTCACAGGGTGGGGATATGATATCCCTTTTGCTGTCCAGGATGAGATACGTGTTTTATGGCTCCAAGCTGCAGAAGTATCTGACTATAAAGTAGGGAAAGGCTGGCCAAGCCTGCAAGTCACAGTAATCCAGATACTGCTTGTTCAGGGGCAACTATATAGGTGAAATTTCATCTGGTTTCTGAATATTAAGTAAATGTGAGATCTTCACCCAAATCGTGAAAGGGCTCTAACAATTAAGACTAAACTGTGATGTGATATATGAAAGTTTTGATTGTGATTTGCTTCATTTGTTTCTCAAGGACTCCTGACTCGTCAACTGTTCCCTTAGGTCCCTTTGTTTAGATAAGACTGAAACACTCATTAGGCTCCCTACGTTAATCACTGATAGCAGACTCAAGGCCTTCAGTGGATACTTGGGCAACTCCTAGAATGAGATAAGGGGGGACTCTAACAAAGAGACACAGACCTCATTAGAGACACTGATTTTGCTGATTTAGGAGGGAGACACCTGGACTTAACTTCACAGCACATGCTCTGGAAAGAGGGTCAACTAGCAAACAGTGAAGAAGTCTAATTGCTTCCTTCCCCAGCCACCAAAGACCTTCACCCTATTTTCACTATGCATGGCTGGACTATGTAAATGAATTCTGGGAACTCATCATAAGACACCCTTTTCTAGGCAATCTAATGAATATGTATGATTTGTGTATGTAAACTGAGGTCTCTTACTAATTCTTGGGAGCCCTTATGGTGGAGAATCCCCAGGGCACCCCAGTGCTGCTAATATAAGAATACCTGCTTAACAGTTATGTTGGATTCTGACTGTTAGAGTTAATTTATTTGCTTCAATCTCATTTTCTGTGCTTAATCGAATTCGATGAAAATAGGTCCTTTTTCCCCCGTCCCTCCTTCACCAGTCCTTACCTGTGCAAAACTGCTTGAAGGGCATTCCCAAATTCAAAGTTGGGACTGAGCTGCCCTAAATAAACCTCAGGAAAGGAGCTTAAGTGTGTGAATGAAAAGATAAGTCACTGATTATATAGTAAAATTGGACAACTGAACTATTGGGGGCCTTGTGTGAGTGTCTGACTTTTTTTTTTAAATTATAGCAAAACCTAACTGTTGACAGCTGTTTAAGAAAACCTCCTAGACCCATAATCTGAGGCTGAGGAGGTGTGTTAGGTGTTAAAGACCAGACATGCTGAAGTATTCTCTAAATGGTGAAGTACTTCTGCTGTAAGGCATTAGGTGTCTTGATTTCAGTTCACCCATAGAGGTATGCACACTTCCTGCAAAGAGCTGTGAACAGCATCCATTCTCCAGCTAACAGCTGGGTGAACCTGCATGAATTTGCCCTCCAGAAAGCAGTTAATAATGTTATGTCTTCTAAAATACTGATCTTGTAGGGAAAAATGGAACAGTTCTGTTAGTCAAGCAGAATGTTTGGACTGATCTCAATGGATAACATGAATTTAATTGGAGGCTGCTTATGTGAAAGAGCAAGGATTAATCTAAAATTAAGGGGGGAAAATACATTTTTTTTTTTTTTTAAATCTTATTGCTCAGTTTGTGCTGTCTCATTAAATTCTTTTATAGCCTGGGAGCTCTGTTTTGCCATTGCTAGGAGTGCTGTCTTTACCATTCCTTCAACAAGAATGCAGATTCTTAGCTGTAAAAAACCTGTCTCTGATAAGAATACACTTATTGATGGACTTGCTTTTTTCTCTTGTGTTTTCAGACAAAAATATATCTCCTGCTTATAGCAAAAGTTAAATTCTGGTGTGTTGGGATTTCAGTTATGAAAATCTTGATTCTATCTTTATGAGAAAGGTCGATTTGAAAACCTTTGCTAGAGTTGCAGACATAGCATTAAAAACTTCTGCGAATCCTTTTGCATTTGAGGGATGCACCATACCATAACAATGTCTAGAGTGCTGCTTGGAATCGTTTTAGGTCATGCTTGATCTGAAAATGTTTCCCCTTCTGACTTCTCTGTTGAAATCCTTCAAAAGGAAGGGGAAGAACACTTAGTTTTTGCTAGTAATTTAAATGCCTTGATTTGTCTCTGGATTACTGGGTAAACCAATGTGCCTTGCCAGTATGGAGAAGCTTTTTATTTTAAGACTATTTCCTGATTATTTTTTTTTTCATTAAACTAACAATAGATAGAATTTTTAAAAAGCTAACACAAAACAAAGAAAACCCCACGTTTAGGAAGCCAAGTCTTAGAAAGGCAACTTATTTCTAACACTGATTGTTCCTGCATTTCTTTTAGCTCCTCAGTTATGTCATATTGGTTGAATAATTTGTAGTGCCTTGTCTTAACCAGGTGTACTATGCAGAATGAAATGTAGGGGCTTTCATTCTCTGAACGGTTTTCCAGTTTCAACTCAAAATACCGATAAAAGGATAGTTCTGATGCTTAACTGATATCTCTTATTACAGGGGGGAAGTTTAACGTGATTACTTGGAAGTAATAGTTCCTCATCATGGCTGAACTATCACCTGAAGAAATTCAGCTGAAGGCCAACCAGGTCACTGATGAGGTAAATATTATAAGAAGCCATCTGGGATTACACTATTTATCTGCCAAGATTACAATATCTTCTAAGAATAAAGTCAGTTTAGGGTAGTGATTCTACAAGAGTATAGGTGAATGTTTCAAACTCATGTTACTTGGTAAATACTGGAGTGAAGACTACTCCTAAAAGTAAGAATGAATTTAAACTTCTGAATTGTGAAGTCACCTTCTTGACTGAGCACCGAGTCCTGATTACTGAGACAGTGCAGTCTGGGTACTTACAGTGTTTGTAGTCATGTTGATACTTTATGACTTTTTTTAACTAAAATTGATTTGAATATTTTTTATAATGACTTTCCAATGGGATAAGCAAAGTACCAGCAAGTACTAAAAATAAGAGTTTGATAGCTACTGAAAAAAATCTCTAGTATGCTGCCACTATGACTGTTGTAATGTGTATTACATATGGACAGGCTGATGGACCTTTGTATACTAGTTGCCTTACTGTAATTAACTGGTAAAGAAGACGTTCAGACACTGATACATACTTAGTGCTAATGCACTCATTTTAAAATTCTTTTTCTAGTCTTTGGAAAGCACAAGGAGGATTCTTGGCCTGGCTATTGAGGTAAGGAAAAGCTTTTGAATTCCCTGGGTATTTCTTAATTTAAGTATAAGAATCATGATGTTGACTATCAAAGTGATCTTGATCACTTCTTTGTCTTAAAGTTTTTTGACACACTTCATTATTACAAGCTGCTTCTTTAATTCAGTAGTAGAGTTGGAATGACTTAAACCTAATGTTTTTCACATTATTTCGGAACACAGAAGGATCAATATCCTTTTTACTTGTTTTCCTTCTAAGTAAAATGGTCTAATCTCCAAATGCTACAGATAGATCATAAAAAGTTTTCTGTGATGATCAGTTCTGCATTTAGCTGCTGTATCACTTGCCTCTCATAACATCTTTCATTTGTCTTTTAGCTCATTTTGGCTATGAACAGTGTGAAAATGTCCTGCTTTGAGGAGGGTGGGGTTATAGAGGGTAGGGCTGGTTTTGGTTCTAAACAAAAGTAGTACACTTTACAATCTGTACATCAGTTTTAACTTTAAAGTTAGTTAAGTATAGTGATGAAACTCTTAACACCCTTATACATTACTTGAAACAATCTGTGTTTCTGGTTTATCTGGGTGGCATTGTACGAGGCATCTGTTCTACACTTAAGGCTTGCGTGCCCCATTGTAAAAAGGACTGAAAGCTTGTGTGATACTGAAAATTCAGAAAACAATTGGTTGAAAGTAAGATAAAATGGCTGATAGTCAGATCTGGTAGACTTGTCTTGCTGAACCAGTTAAGCCTTGTTAATTTTGCTATACTTGGATATGCCAAAGATAAATGAGAATCCAAGAGACTAAGCAGTAATGCCTTTCAAAGCTAATGCCCAGACTTTTAGTGCTGAAGACTTGAGGCAATTTATTGTCAGTGTGAGAACACTAAAAAATAATCCAGTGAATAAGGACCACAAAGTGTTTGGTCACTACTGCTTTAGAGATTGTATCACTGTCCATACAGTATCAGGCTACTGTGGAACTGAAGATACTACTCTTATCAGTGAGGCATTTGAATCAGCATAACCTAATGAATACCTCTAAAAACCACAACTGTTAAGAACATTTAATGAGACAACATTAATTTCTCTTAGTATTGTAATTTGGTGATTCATGGAAGTTAAAATAGCTCCTTCCATAGACAGTTCTATACTGCCAGTTTACAGTAAAGCATGGGTGCAGCTTGCATCCTGGAATCAAGAATCTGAGCCAGCAAAGAGCTGTGCTGTGGTGTATTTCTCCCTGCTGATTTATTTTGCTTGGTTCTAAAACTAGTGATGGGCTATTTTCTTTCTGATCTCTTCTGCTGAATTCTCAAGAATGACTTTACAGGCTTTGTCTTGCTTTCTTTTATTCTGGCTTCCAGGACTAAAGGCCTTGTCAGCTCTATTGAAGGGCATAGGGATAAAGAATGAACTAAATGCCACTTTTCAAAACAAGGCACAGCTAAGTTTACTTTTTATTTTGGCGTTGTCATAGTTCAGTCTGAGTCTTATAGTAAATTTTATCTTGTTGTAATGTAGAAAAACCTCACAAAAAAACCCTCTAATAGAGATAGTGTTAACAGCTGAGATTATTATCAGACTGACATAGGATCTAATTTAAAATTTAGCATAGCTTTGCTACAGAAGTTACTCCTAGCACAGTGTTTTGATATGAATTTGGTTGGCTTATCAAATTTACTACAGAGACCTTGTGATTTTGCACTGCTGTATTGAAATCTGGTTTTATATCTGCAAATAAATTTCTTCTTGCAGTCCCAGGATGTTGGCATCAAAACTATTGCCATGCTGGATGAACAGGGAGGTGAGTTCTTCCTTTTTCTTCTCTAACAATAAAAATCAGTTTTATGACTGTAAGACAAAGGATTATCATTCAAAAGTTAAAGGTTTATTAAAGACTACCTATGTGACAATGAGATTTAATAATTGGCTATTCCCATGCTTGTAGTATTTAAGAAATTTTAAAGTAGTTGAGAGACCATGTTACTTAGTGTGATACAGTTCTGCTACAGGAGCCCTTACTTGCCACCATAGCATGAATGTAACTGCATTTATTGTAAAAGCAGCAACTCAAGTGCTGCTCTAAGAACAGGGAAAATATTTTTAATGTAATAAACAAAAATTATCACTTAACCTTTCTTAAAAAAAAAAATATCCCAGAAGGCAGGAAAGAAGCAAAGCGTTAGCCTTGATATAAAGATAGAATAAATGTATATTCCTGCTTGAAAGAAATGTTCATATCCCATCCCCACCTTCTCCCAGTACATATTTATTCAGGTCACTTGTTTCTCTTCTAGATCAATTAAATCGCATAGAAGAAGGCATGGACCAGATAAATAAGGATATGAGAGAAGCTGAGAAGACACTGACAGAGCTCAACAAATGCTGTGGTCTCTGTGTCTGTCCTTGTAATAGGTGAGTTAAATTGGTACCTGGGTCTGAAGTTCTAGAATATGATCTCTAATGAAAGAGCTAATTAAAAAATGCGGAATCTCTATGAAGGTTGACTGGTTTGGTTTGTAGAGGTGAACCCTCTTGAAATTACCTGAGAGTAGCTAAAGCTTATTTGCATCTAACCATATATTGTGCCCTCTTTCACTGTAAATATAGCTGCTGTATAACATCCTGCACAATTGTGCCCTAATCTCCTTAAAGCTTATATTTAGTAGAATACTACCAATATCCCTACACGAGACCAAACTGGACTGCAGATAGCTGTATGTAAGTGCTAGTCTGTTAGAAACTTGACTCCAAAAGTCATTTTTTCACAGAAGTACTTTTGTAATAACTTAAAACGCAAGAAAACGTCTGTTTTGGAAAAGGAGAGCAATAGTGGTTCTTTAGGCTTTTAAAAAATGTTCATGCTTTAGGAAAGACGAGAGTAGGAAAACAGATACTGGTGTAAAAGTTTTAATGTTTCACTAGTGACTACATAAATTCTTCCAGACATGCTTCACAGTACCTTTGTAACACAGTTGTTATGGCTACCATATCCAAGTCAGTTAAGAGTAATCTAATCTTTTGTATGGTGCTTGATTTGTACTTCTAAACAGCCTAAACAATGTTTGGAAGTCAGTATTACAAGGAAAACGGTATTTATTTTCTGGAGGTGTGCTAGTTTATTCTGTAAGCAGCAAATGATCAAATTGATTTGTATTAATTGGATGTGATCATAGTTCATTCAAGAGAATGAGAAATTAGTTATTTTAAGAGTGTGATCACTGAAGTGAATAGTGTGTATGTTCATTTTTAGCTCTTTAGCATGAGCAAAAAGACCTTATAATTCACCTGAGAGGTTGCAGTAATTTAGGTAGAATTTCCTTAGAGTAGCAGAGTCTGATTATCCAACAGAATAATACTTTGAGGATTGTTTAGGATGGATATGAATGTGGCTTCTAAGGCTGAAAGTCTTAAAGCTTTAGTACCTCGAAAAGGCAGATGGCTCTGTGCTGACCTCTGGATAGGATGCATTTACTGCTTTATATTAGTTTTATCAAGCTGATGGACTCTGAGCATTTTGCCACACTCAAGTCTTTGTTTTCTGTAGTTGATGGTCTTAGTTCACTGAAGCTAAGCAGCTTTTTGACACTGAACAAGCTCAGAATTTATGAACTCTTGTGGCACTCCAAATAGACAGTTAACAATAAAAGAAAGAGTCCTGTACCAAAGTGGGCAGTAATGTGTAGAAAAATCTACTAGGTAAGTAGAGGGTGATGAAACTGAATGTTTTTTTCATGAAGCTACATCAGAACACTTGCTGAATTAAATACTGCTTTTCTCATTTCTCTTAGGTTTAGATTGTTTATAAAAGCTCTGTGAAAACACAAAATACTGGCAGTACACTAATCTATGTACTAATAACAATTAATAACCTGTTTGCTGGTCTTTACTATTCTTTCTTCTCCATTCTCTCCTAACACTGCTTGCTTTCTAAAAATGAAGACTAGGATAAGAAGCTGTATTCACTTAACTGGTGAAAGCGGATTTTAGGACAAGGTCAGTCTTAGTGCAGATGTGTATTTAACTATGTGTGAAGTGATGCTTCCATTGGATCTGTGCTTGCATGTGCATGATGTCTGCATGCAGGTCTCCTTGTTGCTGTGATGTATTGTAAAACTGTGAATAGACAGTGTCCATTACTGTTCAGTGTATTGGCTGCTGTGGAAATGTGGGAACAACTGCTTGAGCCCTTGCTGGTTTGATGGGTAGTGTAAGTTGCCTTACTCTTACAGAAATAAAACATGAGAAAAGTGCATGTATGCTAATTAAAAAAAAAAAAATCTCTTAAATCAGGTGTTGAGAAGCTTTGTTCTTAACTATGCTTAGTCTGAGTAAAAAAATCTGTTTCTAGCTGTCTGCTTCAGATATGCAAATAGTTTTCAGGCTGCTTGCATTTGTTCAAGTTCCTCAGTTACCTCTGGCACCTAAGACTTTGCTAATCCAGAAGCTGAGCATACAAAGCTCTCCTGCTGTTGTGGCTTTAGTGTGAATGAGATTAAAATATAATGCTTAATCTAGTTGCAGTAAACCTAGAGTTTTCTAAGCCTATGTGTATGCACAAGGACCTAGAATTGACTGTTCGAGGTTTCTTTAGAGTTCTGCTGTGTGCAACAGTTTCATTATGAACTGAGAACTTATTCCATTTCTTCCCCTTGATGTGTTCATACTTGATTACTTTTCATAGGGTCTGACCTATGAAATAGTTTCCCATTTCAATTACATAAATGCCAGAAAAATGAGGGGAATCCTTCATTACTGCTAATTCCACACCTCTTCAAATGTGAAACATCTGGACTACTGAAAGGCACTATAGACAAAGAAATTAGTTACCTGTAATTGTAAAGTTAGGTATACTGAAAGATGCTATGGATTTCCCTTCACAGGCTTTTAAAGAAGCAGAAAAGTGGCAGTGGAGTCAGGATTACCTAGTTTAAATGTGAAAATGCCAGCAAACAAGGTGAACATGAGAATATTCTTCACAAAATATGTTCTTTAGCGTTCATGAGAACTGATATCAATTCAGATCAGTTATTTTTCTGTTATATTGTCTTCCCTTCTTGCTTTTGTTGGTCTGATTTCACGGAATCGTCAAGTCTGGGAAAGACCTTGTAGATCATCCAGTCCAACCATTGACCTAACACTGATAGTTCCCAAATACACCAGATCCCTCTGTGCTATGTTGACTCTACTCTTAAACCCCTCCAGGGGTGGGGACTCCACCACCTCCCTGGGCAGCCCATTACAATGCCCAACAACCCATTCTGTAAAGAAATGCTTCCTGATATCCAGTCTAAGATTTGTGAGATTTCTTTATGACGGTATACTTTCTTTAATTGTTTTCCTCTTCTGAATTATGTGGTAAAAGTGTAATGGTAAGTTGGTTTGTTGCTTTAATGGAATTAGTACAATTGAATTGTAGAATGAAGGAGCTATTTAAACATGGTTGCTGTTATTTTATAATCAGAATGAACCTGAGAAACATTAACTTTAAAAGAAAGACTTGACAACAGAAAATGTTTGATTAAAAACCCACAGATTAATGGCTTTCTTGCGTGGCATAGCTATTTGCATTTGAGGGAGTGTTTTCCTTCATCCCCATTTCTTCCCTGAGAAGTAACTAATTCTGACTCCAGACCAACTCCTGATGTAAATGCAAGTTTATCTTATGATGGTGTAAGATTTCCTGTTACTGTCATAAGCTTCCCCTCTGGTAAATTTTCTTACTGTAAGGAAATTACTGTGCTTGTGTTAAAGCTTAAGACTGAATTAATCACTGTCCCTAGAGTAACTCAGTTGTGTTTGTACTATCCCAGTATAAGGAACTGTATTGTATAGACAAGGCTTTGTCTATACAAAGTATAATCTCAGGCACTACGCAGATGTTTCTGAAAATCCTGATTAATACAGAACTTCAGTCAGGAAGCCATATTTCTGATGTAGCAGTTCAGATTTCTTATTTTTATGGAGTAGGACAAAGAACTTTGAGACTAGCAAGTCATACAGAGCAACCTGGGGAGATGGAACGGAAAACTCAGTGGATCATGTGATTTCCATGCAACCGAGAAGCTTAAATCAGCAGCGACCTCAGACTTCTGGAGGACCAAGTGGTGGATATATTACAAGGTTTGCTGCTTCATATTTCTCAGTTTCACATCCAGAAATCTTAAGTTACCTGTTGTCAGCAGTTTTCAGATGTATTTTAGCTGAAGTTGCTAATTAGTAAGTTTTTTTTTACTACTGCTTGGAGAGGAGATGGCAGACACCTGTGCTTTCAGTATTATAGTGCTCATCTCACACTCTTACTGCTTTCATAGTGGTGGTATTATCTGTTTCTGGACGTGAGGACTATAGAGCTTAGTGCTCAGTTATTGAGGGGACTGTTAAAAATATCAAGGACTTTCATTGTCATAAAGCCTATTTGAGACAAACTCAAGTCTTTAACTTCCTCTGGTAGCTGTTACTTTCAATTGTAAGGCTATTTTTGTAATAGCAGCTAGCTTAGCACCTTATTGTGGTGGGTTGCTTGCTTGGAATACATGGGGTTTTAAAAGGGGAAAGCCATACCTTGATTTGAATACATTGCCTGCCAGATAACTGCGACAAATTTCTTGTGAACTATATTTAGGGTAGGGAAAAGCAAGTTCTTCCTTCTTGGAAACATTGTCTTAATTATTTGAACAGGATAACAAATGATGCCAGAGAAGATGAAATGGATGAAAATCTTGCTCAAGTAGGAAACATTCTTGGGAATTTGAAAAACATGGCTTTGGATATGGGCAATGAGATTGATGCCCAGAATAAACAAATAGACCGAATAAATGTAAAGGTAAGTGTCAGAAGTGTTCTCCACCTTCAGCTTAGAGGTTGTAACTGAGAAGTTATAGGGAATGGGCTAATGGTCCTCTCTACCTGTATTTGTAGTAAATACACATTAAGATATATACCATCCTCTAAGTTGCAGTGATTTGAACAAGGGATATATCTTGTTGTTTGGGTATGTAGCTGAAAAATAAAATGCTTCAGAGTGTCAGGAAGCCTAAAAATACAGCACAGGTCACTACTTGCTCTGAAAACAGCTAAACTTGATTGGATCAAAAGGGCATTTATTAAAGGTATAAGTGGGGGTTGTTGCTTGCAGGGCACCTTGTATGTGGCAGGGAATTGGTATTTTTAACAGCAGCAGGATTTTTCTGGAGTTCTTAAAGTCACTAGAATCACAATGTGAAATAAAACACAGGTAATACATTGCCCTAATTCTTGTGGACAGGTTAATATTGGGGCTGGGAAGACTGTAGAACAGCAGGTTTTGTAGGTGCACAGGGTGACATGCCTTCCTCTGTGCATGAAGTGAGTCATAGCCAGTAATGCTTTTTAATTTAATTGCTTTACAGATTAACTTCCCAAAACAGATGAAACACATATAAATACGTTTTGGGGGGGTTTCTTTCAGGGGGCAATTTAGGAGGAAGTTAGCCATATTTTAGAAATCCTCATATTCTGAAATGAATGGAAGTTCTTTTACAGGCATCCTGGTTAAGAAAGGAAATGAAAGCTTTAATGAATAGTGTATATTAAAGATTTTAAAAAGCAGAAGTGAACACTAATTACTGTAAAATTATAGAATTAAGACAAAATGGGAAGTTAAAGGTATCACTGAAATGCCCAGTAGGGTTAAAAGCAAGAGGAATGGCATTTTCTCAAATAGCTAATAAGACATAAATGCTGTTTGTATCTATGTTAGCATCTTAATTTTGTCTATTAACTCAGGGGTATTAACTTAGTAAGGCAAGTCATCATGATCTTATGGAGAATGCCTGAATTCTCTTTCCCTATTCCCTGAAACTGCAGATCTGAGGAGGTTATCAAGTCAAACGTTTTAAAGAACACTAGAAAACTTAATTGGCATTTAAAATGAGCTTATAAAGTGAACTGAAAATTGCCTGGTCAGATAAACTCCAGGTGGGAATTACTGTGTTTAGCAGTAGTGTTTCTGGTAGTCTTAAGCACCATTTTGGCTGGATGCTGTTTTAGTTGCCTGAATAATCTTGCTGATCAAGTCTTACTATTAATATCATGTAAACAAGCTAGAATTGGTTTATCAAACAGCAATAAAAATGGAAGTGCAATTCCTGGTTTTGAGACTGGCAGTCTGTCTCAGGATATTTAAATCAATCCTTTTCTGCTTTTAAATCTAGTGAACAGTGTGGAAACCAAATGAAAATGTTGAGGGTAAATCTCCAAAGGATAGCATCATATAAAAAGCAGTAATAAGCTTAACTTCAGAATAGAGGTGATGCTTTGGTTTTTAATTTTTTTTAATTGCAGCTCACCTGGGAAGTATGTAGGCTTGACTGTTATCCAGGACTCATAATCTGAATAAACACCTAATAAAAGTTAGTGGCTTTTTCTTAGAAAAAGATCTAGTAGCAATGTGTTTCCAAAGTGGTGTTAACACGTTAGTCTCTCACTTCTCTGGTAGGTTTCTGCTCTTCCCCAAACCTTGACCCAAAGTGCAGAGGAAGGAAAGAACAGGAGGAAAGGGCTTGAATTGCCAGTGTTCTCTTTCCAGCCCATGGCAGTGTAAATGTGTGAAATGGCAAATATTTGGCACAGGTAGAACTTCTCAGGAGTTCTGCTCCTCATGGTGAGGGCAGAGGCTAGTTTTGTGCTTATTACCCCTCCGTAATCTCCAGTGCAGGCCAGATAATCAGGGAATTATTTTAAAGCTCCTTATTATAACTTTCAGTAAAAGTGTATTTTGACACTTGTTCAGCCTAGATGCTGTGGCTGACTTTTGATGCCTTATAATAGTAAAACCATTAAAATGCTTTTCTTACAGATACCATACTATTATGACACTAGGACGCTGGAGGGTGTGTGGATGAAAAACAGGGATTTTCACTAAGCAAAATAATTCCAACTTTATGCCCATAGGTCACCTCCAGTTTTGACTATTATTTCTAGACTATAGCAATAAAAGCTGCTCTGTGGAGGTCCTTAAGAAGTCTAAACACTTGGAGAGAGGGAGTTTTTATGCCCTTGTTCCATAAATACTCCTCATGACTGGCTGAGGCAAGCTGCTGTACGTTTTGAGGGTCAACTGAAGGCAAAAAGCTATTTCTTGATTCTGTTTCTGCTAAAATTGACAGCAGATGCTGGCTAGGGGGGAAGTAAAAAAATTACTTCCAGCTTATAAAAGTTGCTCCCCTCTGTCTGCCACAATGATGATAATTATTCAGAAGTTCATGTCAGTTTAAACTGTTTTGCATGAAGTGTGCAAATGACCTATGAATTTCTCTTTCAGGCTGATACAAACAGGGAACGCATTGAGCAAGCCAACATCAGAGCCAAGAAACTAATTGACAATTAAAGCCTGCTGTCATTATTCAATCAATGACAGTGTCTCTCCAGCTGCACGCCACCGTATTCATGGATCTGTGAAACTTCTCCTATCCTGAAATAAGAGGGTCTGGGAAAAATGAAGCAGTACCCTTTCTATAGGGATTAATTTTTCTTTTATTGATTGCTTCATGTAAATGTGGCTTTGACTCCAAGAAAGCAGCCAACATAACTCCTCCTACTCATCTGCCTTCACTTTCTTTCAATTGCTCAGGGCTAAAAGTGTTAGGGCTTGAGAATCTTCTTGCATGTTTTATTCCCCCTCCCAGTCTCTTTTTTTCTTTTTCCTGCACCCAAAATATTGAAGATGAACAAGCAGGGTAACCTGAATTCACAGTTGTGGAAAGTTGGAGAGGGCACTTTGCACTGTTTGAAATACCTCATAAGTTGAGTGTCTTCACTAAAACAGGGACTTGGTGAATATTGTCTGAGTTGTTGTGTATCTAGCAGGCTAACCATAGTTTCACAATCCAAACCACATGATTGGTTTGGGGTTGAGTTTGTGGATTACAGAGTTGAGAGCCACTACTAACTACTTGTGGATTGAGGGCTTTGAAACACTTCCTAACCACATGAACTTCAATGTAAAGGTAACGGGAGGGATATACAGGTTTCCATTTCTTTACTGTAAATCAACATTGGTTTGGAGGTCGTGACTGCTGCATTGTTCTAATAATGTTGCGTGTATATAGACCTGATCTAAACCCCATGCACATGTGAGTAGAAGGAAATAACACACTCTCTCAATATATTTATTTGGAAAATTTTATGCCCCTCATCTAAAAGGTAACTTTTAAGTATTTGAATGATGCATCCTAACTGGAAGAAACTGGGCAGAAGAACATGCAGCTTTGATGTACCATATCAGATGCTGCCTTGGCCAGTTTTCACTGGGGTTCAGTTTATGTCCCTCTCCAGTGCAAAATAATGACTGAGATGTGGTGCAGGGTTTGCTCTCAGCAGTGACTTCAGGACAAGCTTCTTAAACCTACTGAAGACAGAAGCTTATTATGAAGTTTGTCACAAGTCTAGAGGAAGAAATACCTATTTAAAAGCTGTATGCTAGTTCTAAATAAACTAGTTCTAAATAGATTCCTGACTGGTTTGTTATTGCAGACTTTAGGACTGGCAATTGGAAATATTTTATCCAAGTTGCTTGCAACTAAAATGTTCCTGTTCTGTTGCAGAATAGAGGAGTTTCTGACCAGGTGAGGTAAAGATCTCTTCCTATGAAGAAAAATATTTTGGTCTTACTGTAATTTATTCCCAGGATTTTCTTGAATAGTTTTTTTGGGAAGTAAATTGCAAGTGACCTGTTTAATGCCACCCAGCAATATGTCTGTTTTAAAGGTGAAAATGATGTGTTGCACTAACGTGATACTCACTGTTGGATGGCAAAAATCTTACATTGGAGGAATAATTAAAACTAATAGTATAATGGGGTGTGTTTTTTGAAAGGGCATGTCACAAGTATCCTGTATAATAATGAAATATCTTGTGTAATAATGAATTTCAGGGCTAGAGAGATGACACTGATCTGCTGAAATGCAAGATAAACAGTGGTAACTCTTGTGTCTTTTGAAGAGAAACATAGTCATTATTACTGGTATATTCTCACATTGATCCCAGTACAACTTGGTATTTAAAGGAAAAAACCTCAAACAAGCCTGACCAAAGGATGGAGCTGCTGCATGGGATAAATAGGCCAGTGGTAGCCTGTTTTATGTGAATAAGGTAAAGTTCTTTGTTTTTTAGGGGACTTCATACTTCAGTAGTGTGTGGTGGCTTCTGTCTGGCTTCCATTAATTGGTGGGAAGCTAATTAATTTTAAAAGCTACCCCATTTATGTGCTTAAACAGAAGTAGCAAAGAAGTACTTTTAAGAACATTACATAATAAATTTCTACCAACCACTTGCATGGGAAAGCATAGGGGATTTGTATGTTGGGTTTTTTTTTTTTGTCTTACAAACTCCAGGTTAACTGAAGTAGTATTTGCTGCTGGTTGTGAAAGCAAATTATATGTTGTTTAATTATGGTCGTCTCCTGGAACGGAAGACTAAAGCAGTTATTCAGCTTACAACAGTGCAAACCTGCTCTGTAGCATCTGGACATTCCAAACATTGGAATGCTTTTCTCCCTTGCCATTACAAGTCCATGTTCTTGACTTCCCTGAGCTCTAACAACAAAATAGCATGTTGGCTGAGAGAATGCTGTGATTCGTATTATCAGAATCATAATATTGTGATGAATGCCACATAAGGAAATAATTTGAGACTCTTGAGTGTTAGAATATCAATACTATTTTCTGATGCAGCAAGGGCCAAATCCGTAAGGGAGTTGGTGCCTTTGTTAGTAAACAACAGTCTGCTGCTTGGATTGTCTTACTGTTGTCTATAGAATAGATGCTTAATTTCTGTATCTGTGGAATGGAATCAACACTTGTACATCTTTGTATTTCCGAATGCTATTAAGAATGGTTTACAGTTTCTGCTTTTGATTGTTAAACTATATATTGTGCACAGAAAATACATACTTTTATAACTGAATGTGGTTTAAAACTATTTTATCATAGAAATGTCTTTGTTTCCTGTCCTTGAAAAACTTGGCAGAACTAGTTGCTACTATGCAACTAGGAAGTTTCACTTCTATTTTTATTTCACAGAAATGGTAATCCTAATGCTAACAAAGGAATGGGTGTGGTTGAGAAGAGAGGAATATTGTGATCTTTAACATGCTAGTTTTCAGCCCTGCATAATCAGCATCACCTAACTTCAAACTATAAAACGTGTCCATCTCTTCTTTGAAGGACTGTGATTTGACATGGGACTGACTATACTTTGTGATGATAAAGGAAGTAAAATAACGTAAACTCTCCGGTCAAGTATCAGTAAGAGATACTAGTCCAGTAGGTGAAATCTAGTAATTTAACCTACCCCCAGTGCAGTTTCATTTGTGAAGCAATTTAAATTCTATTTTCTGTGATACTAGAGCCTCAGAATGGTTTTAGCAGGGAGGACATGAGAGGGAAGTACAGACTTGTGTTGACTTGCAGCAGTTTTGAGCTGCAAAAGAGAATAGCATGTATTGGAATGTCTTGGAATAAGTATTTCTGATACTGCATTTCTACCAGTGACTAGAAAACAAAAATTAGGGACAGTCTGCATATGTAACTGTTCTGAGCATGCAGCACCTGTCCCAAGGGTACACTTAAATGATAACTGGTAAATTGAAGCTAACCTACCCCTTGATGAAAGATGAATTAAGACTCATTGGGGTAGCTATAGTATGAACTGCAGTACATGCTGCTTGTGTGGCAATTTGCAGAACTTTCCACGGAAAGCTGTATAGTGAGTCAGCTTGCTGTTTACACAATGCAAGTAGTAGCTAATAAACCTTTGGTGCACTTGGAACAGTAATGTGCTATCTAAATGTTGATTGACTAGATGGATGAAAAGGGCATCTTACTGCAGTGGAAAACTGGAGAGCAAGTGATACAGGTCTAAAAATAGATGAATGATTTATACCAGTGGTTCTCAACCTGTGGCCTGTGGGCCCCTGGGGGGCTGCAATATTGTCACAGGGGGTCTGCCAAGGCTTAAAGCAGTGGTGGGGAACATCCAGCCCAGAAGCTTTTGGTCTAGCCTGTGGCAAGTGCTGCACCTCCTTTTCCCACAGCCCCCTCCCCTCAATGCTCCTCTCTTACTCACACCCCACCTCCCATGTGCCCTGGCACACTAGTATATTTGGTGCTAGTGTAGTTTGTGGGATCCACTTTAACTAGGTGGTTTTTCTCTCAAAGACTTTTTTTTAACCCACTGGCCATGATGGGGCTGAAGTCTGTTCCTCCAAGTGGTGGCCCTGGACCCATTAACAAAAATGTATGGTGACCGAACACAGACAAACAATGGGGGAGATAAGAAGAATTGTAAAAACTTTTCATCAAATTTTAATGTAAAAATTGGCATCAAATTCAGAATTAGCATGTTGAAATATCATAAAATGGGCCATTTGAGCAAGAAGAATGTTGATGCTATTAATTTCATATGGAATGGTTGTAATAAAAATATTGTAATAGGTGCACGCTAACAGATTAATTTATTTCCCCTTCTCTCCAAATCTGAAGACCCTTCATGAGAAAACTGAAATAAATATTTGATGCAGTCTAGTGCTTTAAATGTTGAATTCTTAAGTGGTCTGTGGCCTCAAGGTATTTAAAAGGCGTCTGTGGTGAAGGAACCCTTGTTTATATTTAACTAGAGTAACATTTCCTACCTCAATAATTCCAGAACTAAAAAGCTGCAAGTGTAATTGTACATGGAATTGGTTTACAGTGTCACTTGTACAGTGGGGGTGGTGAGAAGGAAAAACTGAGAAACTCAGTATAAAACTACCAATAGATTACATAGTGCTGAAATACACAGAACAGTGTTACTAAGCAACTTAGTTATTGCTGTGATGTTAAAAAAGGTGAGGGTATCAGCCAAATTTTTTTTTTTTAAACAAATAGTATTCCTCCATTCTGGAACAAATTTGATTAATCCAGGACAAAGCACTATTTGGTATTTCACTTTACAAAATTTTTGATAGCTGTCATAACTTCAAGGTAGCAAAGGAGCCTAACAATTAGTTGTAAGGTTTCTAAATGTACTAGGTGATCAGGAAGAGAAATGTTGATTGACTTTATCAAATGCTTCCAAAAGCAGTGATTTTTTTTTTTTTTTTATAGCAGTGCTAACTGCATTGTTTTCAAATGCCCTGATCTACTCTAACACAGCTGTGTTGACTTGACAAAAGAATCCTGATAAGCAAATGTTAAATGAGAGAAGCAGCATGTCTGAGCAGATATTTCCAGTAAAAAAAAAAAACAAATCCACACACACACACACACACACACACACACCAAAAACCACCACAAAAACCCTCAGAAAAAACAAATTCAAAAAAGCCCTCCAGAGCACACCATGGCCAAGTACACTCCTTTGTAGTTGTTAGAGCTGCTGAATGCAAAGGGGGAATTTGCTAACTGAGGGGCTTTGTTCTGTGGATGTCTCATATATGGCTCATCTCTAGAAAAAGCTAATGCTTTAAAGAGGATTTAGCTATCAACTAGAAGGAAATTCAAAACAAGGCCAGTGGCTTTAAACTATTCACTGCTGGATTTGCATGTCATAATCTGTGGAGTCTGTTAGAATGAAGCTGAATGGATTCCTGACTATATGGAGCCTTGCATTATGGTAATATACAGGTGTTCTTAAAGCATTTCTCTCCTTGAAGTAGCCTCGTCAGCATTGCCTGCTGTCAGCTGCTACTTAGGAAGCTAGTAGTTTTTCCATAAAGTAACACCGGGAATGGGGGTTCTTAAGTGAAACTAGTTCCCTGTTTAATGAGGGATTGTCTTCATCCTTTGAATAAGGAGCTGATGTTCCCTAAATAATAGGTATTACTATGTAAGACTTCAAATCAGACAGCACAGGGTCAGGGAACTGGATACATCTTCTGAGCATCTTATAAAAGAACCACTTATTGTTAGTCTTGATTATAGCTGTTACACTGAGGAAAAAAAATTGGCACAGAGGTCACATTTTTTTAACTGCAGGTGGTGTAAGATGTTGAGTATGTTTGATGGTTACACATACACCTTTTAAGGAGTTTGCTGTACATGCCTTTCCTGTCTAGTGTAGGAAAGCTTAAGTATAGGAACCTGTTAATGTAAGACAGTTCAGCCATAGATGCATCTATGCTTATCTTGCCAAGATGTGTACATAGTACAGCTCCTACTTCACTGTTTGAGCCTGTAGTACGTATTATCTGAATTACTACTGAAGGGTTTACATACTCCAATCCTCTGCTTTCTCAAAGCAGCAGAAGCATAACTGTTACCAACAACTAATGGAACCAAGTACCTAAGTGATAGCTTTTAGGGATTGCTTAGTACTTGTCATTAAAATGACAACAGCAGCAGTTACACCAAATAAACTTGAACTGATTTTTTTTGAAAATTATTTACTAAAATAAACAAGTACATTTTCCTTTTCAGTATAAGTTTACATAATTGCATACATTTTTAGCTCTTTCTAGGTGCTTTTGGTAATAAGGCAGCAGCAGTAGGCTGGCGACTAAAACCTTCAGCATTGCTCTGTACACAAGGAATCAGTGCAAGGATATTGTATTTTCTGGCAATATACATTTTTACTGAATACATTGAAGATGAACCTCTTTTATTTGATAGTGCTTGAGCAGAAGTGGACTGTAGTGCAATTCTTGCTTATGGGAAAGGAAAAGTCTTTACAGTAAAATATGAATGATGCTCAAACTGTGATTTCTTTACCAGAAGCAGGTAATAAAATAGCCACAACTATTTGTTCTTCATAAAAAACTTATACAAGTTATAAACTAAAACCTCATCTGTAGAAGTTCCCTGTAGGATAGTGTTTACTGCAAGACACACAATGTTTCAGATCTGCTTTGGTGGTAGCACTTCCATGTGCTAGCATGGAAAAATGTTTCCAGAAGAAATGATCCTCTTACAAATCAACAGCCAGCTTCCTGACAAAATGGAACTGGCAACACTGAAACGCTCATTCCCTTTCTCTGTGAAAGAACAAGCCGCAACAAAGGAGAACGTGTATTGTGTTAAAAGCTACAGTGGCATAAAAATCAAAACTGGCCCCTGGACAGGTTCATCAGTTCAATACCCATATTCTCTAGTTCAAGTGTATTCAATGTGGCCTTAACAGACCGTATCAGACTACCAGAGAAGGAGCACTCTGATCATCTCCTTCATCCGTCTTGGTTTAAGTCAGTAAACCAGGTGCTTCAATCACTGACTCTTCTTACAGGGAATACACAGGATGAAAATAATGATCATGCAAACTTCTTCTTTGTAGCTGTAAATCGTTCCATGTACTACAAAGAAAAAAAAAAATAATCTAAGATTTGTAAATTAATACAAGATTCATTAATACTAAAAGCAGCTAAGCTTCTGCTCTCAGACTCAAAAGCACTCTGCATATTTTCACCTCCCAGACATTACCATTTAATTAAAAAAACCTCCCAAAATTTTCCACCGTTTGCTGTAATTTAGATCAATGCTCTAGAAAGAAAGTCCTCACAACGCTGAACAGGATGAACTAATGTTAAACAGTTAAGAATGCTGCATAACAGGAAAGATCCATTATTTTTTGTCTCATCAAAGTGAAGAGATGGACCTGTCATCATCAACTGCCCTTCAAAAGATGCTGATGAAAGAACACTGATCCTGAATCCTATGAGAAAGTTCACCTTTGAAGAACTCTTGAAGGTATTTTCAGAAATTAGATACAAATCCAGTACCAAAAACAATACCAACAGACTGTGCTTTTATTCACTAGCACAAAAGCTTAGTATTCTAAGGAGGTACTGGGTAAGGACTTCACCAGGAGCTTCTTTAGAAAAAAGACAAAAAACCAAAAGGACACCAACCTTGTCGTAACCTTCTAGTTCTCTGAGTTTCTTGATTTCAAAGAGGTTGCCTTCTACTGCAAGCAGTGAGATCTGGGAATCACTGAGGATACTCTGAGGAAGCATGCTGAGTTCTAGGCAGTTTTCTTCTAAACGCAAGACTTTGAGGCGTGGACAGTGGGAGATCTGCACTGAGATCTGGGAAATCTGGTAGAAAGAAAGTAACACAGAAAAGCGGGATTAAAATGTTAATGATGCACAATTAAGTGATTTGTTTCAGACTAATATGGAACAATTACATTAGCAGTAACTACTTAACAAAAATGTACAAGCAACAATAATAATGATCAAAAATGCAAGTAACTTTTTTTTCTTCCATGATGACAGGCAACCTACACATCTGTTTATCAGATTCCTCCTCAAGAACTGTTCAAATAATTTTTTTATGTCTAAATTCAGGATTTGTTAGTCAAATCAGTCAGTTAGATGTATCAGTACATAAACGGTACTTATGATCCCTCATTTCTGTTGTGTCCAGGATATGTCTTTTAGCTATAAATTTTGATGGTCTCAGTTTATGTTCTGTGGATATACTAAGTCCAAGATAAACCATGTCCTAAATCTACGAGCCCATAATATCTCAGTTATCAGACCTGATTCTGATTCAAATTGAGTTCGATAGCCTGTAATTCTCCAACAGTGTCGGGAACATTTTGGATCTGGTTTTTGGAAAGATCTACCACATCCAAGTGGCGAAGACCGGAGAGCTGTGTAGGCACAGTGCGAAGCTGGTTTCCAGAAAGGCTCAGGGTTTTGAGAGCTGAAAGTTGTCCAAATGCAGCTGGTAGCTGCCTCAAGTGATTGCCATTCAAGTGTAGTGTTTCCAGTTTTTTCAGTTTACACAGCTCCTCAGGTAAAGCAGCTAGAAATAAGTGACAGAACAGAGAGATGACCTAAACAAAGAGCAGTAAGCATTCATACCCATTTCATTCAAATAAGCTTCTGCATGGAAAACAGTGCTATGTTACAGTAATTTCTCAAAGGATTCCTCCCCATTTTCCAGTGAAGGCACAGAAACTTAAACCCACTGACAAGACATGCTTTTTAACCATCTTCCATAAGCATCTTAAAAACTGTCTGCAGACAGGGCAAATCTTCCAGTCAGAAGCTGAAAACACTACCCTGAGAGGCTTTTAGCCTTTCAGTTACACTCCTTACTAACCACTTTGCTGGCGTATTCTATGACATTTGAAGTACCAGACAATTCACAGCTTCAGGTCTGCTGCAGCCCTTTGAAGGTGTTCCTCAACTGTACTAAACCATCTAACACGGTTAAACCTTCAGATCAGACAAGTCACAGCAAAGAAAGGTTAAATGGTTTTAAGTACTTACATGTCATTATAAAACTGATAATACAACTAAGTTGGCAACTAGTTTTGAAAAATTTATGGTTTGTTTTTTTTTTTTTTATCTACATGAATTTCAAAGATTTCAGTTTAGGTAACTAAACTCCCCATTTATATCCTGTGAGAGTTAAATCATTACATTTAGTTTCGGATAAGAGCAGTCAGGTTATTATTTTTAAAATCTGTGGAGATATTATTTAACAGGCATACTCAGTTTGTTGTTGTTTAGAACAAGGCTCTTCAAAAAGGAAAATTTTCCAATGAGTGGTGGCAAGAGCTCTATTTTGTTGTTCGACAAGTCTATTGTCCTTAAGTTGCTTGTTAGCTTCTGCAGATCTTCAGGAAACTATGGAGGAAAAAAAAAGATACAGCATATTGGATATGATTTTGAATGTTCCAGTTACACAGCTTAAAATTCTAATTGAAATTTGTATCACTGTGACATACTGTCATATGTATCACCATGTCCAGTCACTACAGTGTGCAACTAAGTTGGCAAATTTGCTTAATATGTATTTTTAAAAATACTTTTTCATCTGAGGAAGGGAAGAGGGATATAAAGGGGACAGTCTAACATCTAGGAAGAGTAGATTTTTATCCAAAGAACTTAAATTAAAAAGGGAGAAGGAAGTATACCATGACACAAGCTCCTTTATGTTTTAGTCCTCTTGTGTGTTTGTCTTAAACATGCCTGTCATTTTAAAATACTCTACAAGTAGTTAACAACTCTATTATATCTTAGCAGAGTAGGATTGGGATATTTTTCTCTTGCTTTCCTTTTAAAATAATTATGTAAGCCATTTTCCTTATTAACATCCTGTACCACTTTAATCCCCACTTGGCACTGAACTGAAAAAAAACGTGAAAAACCTGACAATCACCATCAGCAAGACCTAGTCAACAGGCCAGTGGTTTCGATTCTCCTTTAGTCTGGCAGAGGAAAAGGGAAAAGAGAAGATAGGATAGTGGAAGAAGATACTTGAGAAAAGTCTTGGAAAATTACTGCATTATAGAGTTATTTTGGCCATCCTGTGAATTTGGATTATCCTGTGTTACTTGATGTATGGTTCCAGGACATTCTATGTTCTCCTGCAGTTGAATCAAAGTCAAGACAATTTCTGATATAGTAAACTTCAAGATGCTTGCAGCCCAGTGAACAGCCTGTACAGACTATTCACATGACTACAATTAAATAGAGCATAAGTATGTACACGTGACAAATTGTGCAGTATCTTTCCAGTTAACAATACGGTTATAAAATTTATGGGTTTTCCCTCAAGTTTACAGCCCTTTCTTTTAAAAAGGACAACATCATAACTAGTACTTCTTGAACACATATGCACTCTAAAGCATAAACTCATAAGCATACATGTGCCCTGACAGATAAATCCTCAATCTGAAGTCAGTGCAAGCATACATCTCCTCTGCAAAAAGGAAAAAAATATTGACATAATATTATCCATCACAGTTTATAACAAATACATATGTACAGTCCATTAGGACAATGAGGTGGGAATTTCTCTTCAAAAGTGCCAGCCACACAAACAAACAGCCACGTTTTCCCTACAATTACATTACCTCTGTAAGTCCCTTTCCCGTTAGCTGAAACACACCAGTTTTCTGTGCTGTCTCCAGGTGGGCTTTTAATGCACTATTTCCCATTCTAACAGTTCTGTCAGGCGTACAGAGTTGGAGCGATAGCCTCAGCCAGTTTCTCTGTTATTCTGCACTACTGAACTTCAATCCAAAGTCTCTGTGATAAAGCAAATGTAAAGTCACTTTACGTGTACTGTCTTCAACACTACGAGCATTGCAATATACTGAACCGTTTCATTGCTGCGTTTTCATCTCATAACTAAAACCTAGAACTTAAAAGATTTACCATGCTTAAGGTGCCTTTGTTATAGCAGTTTGAAGGTAGAAATAATGCAACGAATCTAGTTAAATCTAAGTGGGAAAATTGCGTACTTTCCACATTTTGCCTCTTTCAGGGCTCAGTAGTGCAAGAAGATTCTCCATGGAGACTAGCTGTGATTTTAGTGGCATCTACCAGCGCTGACTTGCTGTCAACATTACAGTTTTGTTTTCTTTTTTTGGAAACATTTGTTTCATTTAGAGACTTGACTCCTCTGCTGTGACTCTAGATGCTGATACAAGAAATCCATCTCCCCTAACCCAGCAGGGTTTAATCCCCAGGACAAACTAAGCCGGGTTACAGGCCGAAGGCTTAGCGTCAGGTTTGCAGCCGGGAGGTGGGGAATAAAGCCTAATACAGCAGGCAAACAGCCAGGACGAGGAGCCCAAGAGAAGCGGAGGCGAGCCAGCAGGACTCTCGGCAAGGGGCGCAGCCAGCAATGACCCGCTACAGACCCCGGTCTCCTCGCCTCAACCCCTCCCATGCTGCTCCGGCCCCACCGGGGCGGCTTAGCCCTCGCCCCGGCCCCAGCACCCCAGGGAGCGGCGACGGCCCGGCCCAGCCCGGCCC